CCTATTGTATATATTACTCTTTCTTACAAATCCTCTTTTTAAAAAATCTACTACAAAGAATATTATAGGGAGCAGTGGTGAAGTTCATTTTTTTACTACTGGTTCTGTGGGCATGGCTTGGTGGGCATGGCAAGGGAAGGATATTGTAAAATCTCCATTCCCGCCCCACTCTGGGGCCAGCCAGAGGTAGTATTTGCCAGTTCTCTGGACTCAAAATTTCTGCTACCAGTTCTCCAGCACCTGTCAGAACCTGCTGAATTTCATCTCTGATGTGGGGGGAGGGGTTTGGTATTTTTCTATAGGGGAGTTTCCATTTTATTAATAGATTAGATTAGATTAGATTAGATTAGATTAGATTAGATTAGATTAGATTAGATTAGATTAGATTAGAATTCTTTATTGGCCAAGTGTGATTGAACACACAAGGAATTTGTCTTTGGTGCATATGCTCTCAGTGTATGTAAAAAGATAAGATACTTTCTATAGAATAGAACAGGGTAGGGTAGAGTAGAATCCTTTATTGGCCAAGTGTGATTGGACACACAAGGAATTAGTCTTTGGTGCAGATGCTCTCAGTGTACGTAAAAAGATAAGATACTTTCTATAGAATAGAATAGGGTAGGGTAGGGTAGGGTAGAATAGAATCCTTTATTGGCCTAGTGTGATTGGACACACAAGGAATTAGTCTTTGGTGCAGATGCTCTCCGTGTACATAACAAGAAAATAAACATTCATCAAGAATCCAAAGGTACAGCACTTAATGATAGTCATAGGGTACAAATAAGAAATCAGGAAACAATCAATATCAATATCAATCGTAAGGATACAAGCAACTAACTAACCGTTTTTCGGGCCATTTTTGTCCTTTTTCAGGCCATTTTTGGAGCATTTTTCTTCACAGGTGCTGGAGCTGCCAGCTGGTCTTCACAGGCACCAGAGGGCCAAAAAACAGCCTGAAAACAGCCAAAAAATGGCCTGAAAACAGCCCGAAAAACGGCCAAAACCTGCTAAAAAACAGATGCGAGCACCAGCCAGCTGGTATTCGGATTTCTGGCACTCCGACATACGTACGCAAGCACGCACGCCCGTTCCGGCTTGGGCACGGTGCCAAAAAGGTTCACCATCACTGTTATAGGCCAATCAGCTTGATGCTCATACCCGGGGAAACTCCTGAAAAAGATGTACCAAGTGGAGGATTTGCAAGCACCTAGAAGCAAACAAGGGGATTACTAGAAGCCAGCACTGGGGGTTTTAAAAACAGATCATGCCAGGCAAAACCTATTGCCTTTTGGGGCTAATTTTTAATAAATCAGCAGATAGGCAAACTACTGTGGACATAATACACTTATACATAGTATAGTAGTGTATGGTCTAAACTAGGCTCTAGAAAAAGTACAGAGAAGAACAACAAAGGTGATTAGGGGACTGAAGGCTGGAACAGGTATGCCTAGTCTTTAAAAGGAAAAGGGCTAGAGGTGACATGATAGCAGTCTTCCAGTATCTAAAGAGCTGTCACAGTGAAGAGGGAATCACCCTATTCTCCAAAGCACCTAAAGGCAGAACAAAAAGGAATCATAGATGAAATCAACCTCGAACTAAGGAGAGATTTCCTGGCAGTGAGAGCAATCAACCAGTGGAACAGAAATTGCCTTCAGAAGTTTTGGGAGCTTCATCGCTGGAAGCTTTCAAGAAGAGATTGGACAGCCATCTCTCTGGCATGGCATAGGGTCTCCTGCTTGAGCAGGGGGTTGGACTAGAAGACCTCCAAGGTCCCATTCCACATCTGTTATTCAGTGGAATGGCTGGCCTTCAGAAGTTGTGGGAGCTTCATCGCTGGAAGCTTTCAAGAAGGGACTGGTCTGCCATCTGTCTAGCATGGCATAGGGTCTCCTGCTTGAGCAGGGAGTTGGACTAGAAGACCTCCAAGGTCCCTTTCAACTCAGTTAATTATGCTACCTACTTGCTTCAAACCTTCCCAGACCCCGCTAGATTACCCATCCCCCCAAAAAATATTGTGTGTAGCAAAACAAAGTGAGCTGAGGAGATAGACGAGAGAGAGGCCATTTCTTACCACAAGGATGGGAGTGCCCTTCACAAGACTTTTGTTTGGCTCCCTAATATTTGCCCCTTTTTGGGCTACAAGGACCATCCACTGGGGACAAGTGTCCACTCAACTCTGCCAAGAGCTTTTTGAAGGATAAGGCCTTCAGCCATGCATGTTTCACAATATGTTGGCCCCATCTCAGAAACTTGACTGAGAAGGATAGAACAGCAGAGAATCAAGTTCTCAAGTCCAACCAACCAAGAGAAGGTCCATCTCATAGCCAGAGAAATGGGAGGGGAGACCACTCCCTTCTCCTTTTCAGTAGTCTTCCTGTGTGTGTGTATATATATATATATATAAGTTTGATTCTTTCCACTTCAGTAACTGGCGAGGGGTAGACCGCATGTTGAGGAGAGAGCCCAGGGATGGAGATGGAGGAGAAGATAGAAATTGTCACCAAGGAGACTCTACTCAAAGCACCATCAGCCGTGAGTCCCTTTGCCACCTTACTACACTTCCTTCCCTTTGTACTTTCTTCTGCCAAATTGCAGAGGCTCAAATTTAAATAAGTGCCTGAATTTATCTGAGCATCTGGGACCTGCATCTGAGCAGGTTCCTTGGCAAGAAGTCCCAACTATAAAAAGCCCAATTAAAAACTTGTCTGTCCCTAGATGCGGGAAATATTATTCAGGATTTCTTGATGGAGGCTCAAAGTTACAAGTCCTATCTCAGAGATTATAATTAACTCTGAATTCCTTGAGTTACACCTTGGAAATAGATATTAGAGCTTTGGAAATCTTCAGACCAAGCAAATATTGTGATGAGCTACAGCGGCTATGAGGGATGGCCGCCTCTTTGATCTCTCCCACCAGTTTTAATTAGGTGCATTTTAGACGGATGATTTTTTCCCGTCTGTTACCTGTTTTTCCAATTTGCTGAGTAAGTCCTTGGTAGTCCAAAGGTGGCTCATGCAGAGGTGGGTTCCTACTGGTTCAGATTGGTTCTGCCGAAGTGGTAGTAAAAATTGGGGCTGGCTTTCCAAACCGGTAATACCAGCAGGCTGGCCACGCCCCTGAACCGGTACCTCGTCAGTCGCTCGCCCACACGCTCAGGGCATTCCTGCAGGTAGCATCTTCTCATTTAAGGAGAATCTAGCAGCAGAGCCACACCAATTGTCCTCCCCTACAGACCTCCCAGGTCTCATGGGGAACTGCTCTGGGTTTCAACAATGGAACAATGTCCACTGTGTGACTCTCTCCATCACAGCCTTGTCTCACCCTCCTTCCTGAGCCCCTTTCACTCTGGCAATGCCAATGACCATCTCCTCCAACCTGTGAATCTCCCATAATTTCTCTCTCTCTCTCTTTCTCTCTGTCTCCCTTTCTCTGTCTCTTTCTCTCTCTCTCTCTCTTTCTCTCTGTCTCCCTTTCTCTGTCTCTTTCTCTCTCTCTCTCTCTCTCTCTCTCTC